GCAGGAGTAATGCAAAAGCAGGTATTCATTTTTAGCTACACCCCCTCATGGCCGGTATCGTTGGAAACTAGAGGCTCAGACCTTTTCAAGGAGGTGTCAGAGGTAATTTTGCGGCCATTTCAGGTGATGCAACCAGCATGCGTTACATAAGCTTTCTCTGTTAATCTTATTCAGCTTGGTGATATTATTTTTAAATTTCAATGAAACAACAGCTAAATCTTAGGAGCAAAGGCTTTGCCTTATGCAGAAGGTCTCCAATAATGTAAATCAGAATATTTTTCCGACCAGATTCCCTTTTATAAATGGAAAAATAAATTTGGCATAATTTGTCAAATTTTGGCACTGGCAAAATCACATTTCCACCTAGCATACTGCCCAATAAAACCGTTGTGGAACAACCATATTTTAACTTATTCAGTCCAAATTTGCTTGACTTATAGTCAAGATGTGGATCTATAAAGTCTGAGGGTTCATCCGCAGTTTCAAATGGGTTTTCATGTTGTTTAGTGAGGTTAAATACTTTACATTTTTTTCTTTGTTTGATCACCTATAAATAAGACATGGTGACATTTAAAATAGTGGTTCCACCTGAAAAATATTCCTCAATGTCTTTCTGTCACACAAATACAAACTAGTATATTTCCAATTTATAGTTTGGGAGCTGTACTTGCTTTCATTCACATATGTAATTTCAGGCGGAATTTGCTCCTAAGATCCTCAGGGCTTAAGGGGTTAAATTTCCACTCAATATAATTTGATTAGAAATGTTGAGTTAGAATGCTCTAAATTTAGAATATATTCAAAATGTCTGCTCACTAATCATTAAAATAAAACATTTAAATCTTCAAATAATATTTAATAATACAGAAAACAAGTATTATGAAGTATTTATGAGGTTAAAGCAGGAAGCTTTACTTTAAGTTTCCTTGAATTATTACAAAAAATGTACAGAAAATACTTCCTAGATTGAGAACATAACCATGGTAAATGTGTATCTTCGGCAAATAATTGTTAACAGAAAAGAAGAGTTTACTTATGAGTTTTACTACAGATTGATACATAAAGAATGATGTGATTGCATGCATAGAACCCCATGGTGCATGTCTTTAGAATAAACAAGCACAGCATGCGCTGAACACACCCGTATCTGCCAATAAACCTGAATGAAACATTAATACTAATATTAGTAGATCTGCAGGTCTTACTGGAGAAGGTCAAGGACAGGATGAGGATGATGAGGGCTGCTAAGATGACAATCAGGGTCACCATGCTAAATGTAGAGATAAACAAACAGGAAAATTGAAGGAACAATTATATTTATACACTTTTATGAGCTTTATATGTGCTGAGCTACATAACTGTTTGTATTAGTCTAACATTAGCAGGAGTGGTATGGTTTAGAAATATGAGAAAAATAAAAATGCATGTATTATAAATGATTGCAATATTTGTTAAGACAGTAACCTGAAAATGCATCCACATGTATGTTGAAACAAAATAAAAGACTAATCATTATATCATTATGTTATAACACTGAATTTCTCTCTATTCATTAAAACTGAAAATATGCAAAACTTACCCGTAAAAAATAATCTGTCCGACTGTAGCCATTTCTCCAAAATATCAACTTTAAAAAACTTTTAAGACTTTAAGTGCTGCTGCTTTGCTTTGTCCTCATCCTGATGTTCTGCACATGTGCCGCTTGTTTTTAATGCAGCCTGCACAGAGCGGCTTTCCGCTACCTCCCTTACAGCAAGCATAACACAACACCATGAGTAAATATTATATTTAGGGTGTGGACTCTTCTGTTGTCACAGCAGCTCATTTAACTTTGAAAAATGAACATTTCAACATATCTAGAAGAATTCATAATATGTAACCTGTTTTATTAAATTACAGTCAAAAGTTCATATTTCCTTTTTTTTTATTTATTTATTTTTTTTATTTCTAATATTTAAAGTAGCAAACATAATTGACAGCAGCTTAAATCTTTTCATTAAGACCAAAGAACAGCACAATAGCTCATGTCTTGGGTTTGGTACTTTGCTTAACAGGACAACGGGAAACTTATGCTGTCATGCAAGAAAAAACAACAAGGCTCAAAATGTGTAACATGGAAACCAAGCAGTCATTAAACAAGCAGGTATATTTAATCAATAGAACTTTGGGTTTCAATGAATTCAGTTTGTCACATTAAAATGTCCTTTTGCAAACTTTAATAAGTTATAGGTTAATTATGTTCTAACGTAAAATGTCTTTGTATTAGTGCGATGTAATATGTCAATTTTAGAAATTGTTCCAAAACGGACTATTTAATAGGGAAGGGGGAGTTCTCAGTGTTTAAAAAAGAGAAACACATCAAGTATTAATAGAATTTATTCCAGTCATGTTTAAAGCCATTGATATGTACGACGGAGTATTACGGCCAGGCTAGAGAATAAAGTCATAATATTATGAGAATAAAGTTGCAAAATTCTGAGAACAAAGTCATAACATTACGAGAATAAAGTCGTAATATTACGAGAATTAAATCATCGTACAATAACCCGTTTCAGAAAGAAAGGTTCGAGCTCTGATCAGCAGATGACGGCTGACCAGCTCCACCAATCAGCAACCTGAGTCCACTTTGACATCCTGCCCAATTTGGTGCTAAAAGATTTCCTTATTTGTCAAATCAGAGCCAAAGCATAACTACATATGATGATCATCATTCCTCATTTTAGGGGAGAAAGTGCTTCTTGTAAGAGTTGTCATATATGACGCAGTAGTAGGCCAGGCTAGAGATTTTTTTCTTCTATTTCGAGAATAAAGACGTAACATTATGAGAAGAAAGTTGAATTATTACGAGAATTAAGTAATCATTCAACAACCCATTTCAGAAGGAAAGCTTCAAACTCCGACCAACAGATGACGGCCGACCAGCTCAACCAATCAGCAACCTGAGTCCACTTTGACATCCTGCCCAATTTGATGCTAAAAGATTTCCATATTTGTCAAACCAGAGCCAAAGCATAACTTCACAGGATGCTCAACATTCCTCATTTTAGGGAAGAAAGTGCTTCTTGTTGGAGTTGTCATAAAATACAACTTGTTTGGCGTAATTTTAGGAATTTTTTCTCGTACTGTTACGACCTTATCTCGTAATTTTATGACTTTATTCTCCTAATTGTATGACTTTTTTTCTCGTTATTTTATGACTATTCTCATTGCGATTTTATTCTCGTAATTTTACAACTTTATTCTCGAAACTGTATTACTATTCCAGTTGCGACTTTATTCTCATAATTTTACAATATGTTCTCATAATATTACGACTTTATTCTCGTAATTTGACGATATGTTCTCATAATATGACGACTTTATTCTCGAAATTTTATGACTTTATTCTCGTAATATTACGACTTTATTCTCATAATATTACAACTTTATTCTCGGAATTTTATGACTATTCCCATTGCGACTTGATTCTCGTAATGTTACAACTTTATTCTCGAAAAAGAAGAAAAAAAATCTCTAGCCTTGCCCTAATATTCTGTAAATTCTCAATCTTTCTTTAGGCATTACAGATTTTTCTAATAGTGCCTCCACCTGTGACCAAAACACAGAACTGCAGCACTCTTCTCGTAGCTCGTCTTTTTCACCTTACATGGTGTTCCAAATTGGTGTGAGAGGTCAGCTAGATGCTAGTCGCTTCTAAGTAATTACAAAATTCATCTTGAAAATAATTCTTGGACTCTTTGCTAGGTCGGACCCATTTGATAAGGACAAGCTTGTCACGTCACATCTGCAGAACAGAGTGGGAATTTCTGACACGGAGTAAATTCAGGAAAATAGGCTACAGGCTTAAAGATGCATCGGCGCTGAACTAGTGAGGTGTCAGTCTGCTCATCAAATGATGTTTTAGTCGTAAAGGGTCAAATAAAAAGGCTACTTTAAAGATATTTTTCTGTAAAAACTTCTTAAGTTAGCTTAATTTTTTTCTAAACAGATGGTAAAGAAGTACTAGGGTCATCACAGGTCACCAACATAGAATACAATCACAGGCCATTTAATTTCCTATCTCTAACAGCCTTAGAAGATCAGTCTGTGTGTAAGTAATCTATCTTGCTAAGACCTTCAACAAGTGAAATAAATAATATAAATGAACTTTATTGATCTCACACTGGAGAAATTCTCCTCTGCATTTAACCCATCCCCTTATGGAGCAGTGGGCTGACATTGTGCGGCGCTCGGGGAGCAGTGTGGTGTTAAGGGTCTTGCTCATCCGAACCTCAGGGACCCAAACAGAATGCTCTAACCACCAGGCCACCACTCCCCCCTTGAGCTACTGACAATAAAAGAACTTTTATTGTTCTTTAAAATCTAATAATTTAATGTGTATGATTGTTACATTGCTGCTCTGAGAGGGATCAGCCTTTAAACCTCGCCAATTGCCAATAGAACGTTGCAGAAAGACACTAACTCCAACCCAACAGAAGAAGCATGTGGAGAAAACAACTTTGAGAATCCTATATATGTGTGTGTGTGTTTTGTTCTCGTATATGTGCATGAATGCATATTATATAAAACTCTGTCAAAATGTAAACATGCTATATAGAATTAATGACATGATACGTTTTTATTCAGTTTTATTATTTTAAATATAATGAGTTTGATAATGTTGTAAACAGTGACGCTGGATACTGTTGTGTAAATATTTCAAAGTGCTCACATTTTATTATGAAGTAAAACAAGCTTGCTTTTGGTCTATTTACTGAAAATGTCAAAATCAAAAAATCTGTACATTTTTTATTTACATCCTGTACATTTTATTTGCTTTAACATTTATTTATACATAGAATATTTTTTACTTAAGAGATCAGAAAAGGCATGAGATCACAAAAGCAAATTTTTGATTTAAAGAAATTATAATTCATAAATAAATTATTCTTTTATATATTGCGAAAATAACCAAATATTGGAAGATTAAAGTCCCTTTCTACTGTTAGATGTGTTTTAATGTTCATATAATAGGATAATGTCCTTCACTCGACTCTGCCCTCTCCTGTACATTACTGTTTTCTCTTTTTTTTTCTTTTCCCATGAAGAAGTCAGATTTTGAAACTTGTTCCCATACTTCAGAAATATCTTCAATGACATTCACGCCTTCATCTACTTCCAGATTCTCATGGTGCTTGATACTCTGGATATAGACTTTACAGAGTGTTTCAGCTTTTTTTTTTGCAATTTCCTGTAGCTGATCATTCATATAGTTGCTGACTTCTTCTGCCAACAGGTTTTCGTACACCACACTGTAGTAGGGGGCACTCCATCTCTTTCCTGGTTTACAAGCTCTCCGAATTTCAGAGATGTACCACAGAAGCAGAAAACAGCTGCAAACACCAAGGCCAATGTCCTGCAAATCAAACAAGCCAAATAAGTAAATTAAGATCTGCCTTTTTCTTAAGGAACAGCAAAGGAGAACGGGAATTAAAGCTTTTATAAAGTTTTGGTTTGCATCCAGTCATCTATAAATACATTTTCATATTTAACCATATAACATTTTAACAAGTATATGCTGCAAAATCAAAGACTCCAAACTGGTATATATTACTGTACTCACTTTGATAGACTTTTCAAAAATAAATGTCAATAAAATAGTTTAAGTTTTGGATGCTTTGTATCAAGGAGAAATACAATATTTATAACAGATGATTTTTGGATCAGAATTAACATTTACTTTATAGCTTGATAGGAGCTAAAATCCCTTCAATGACACTTACCAGTGATTCAGTTTTGTAGTGGTCCATTATGCGTTTCTCAGAATACGTAGGATTTTCTTTGCAAGGTATTCCAGTCTGATTTGAGTTGAGGTTCGTCTGTATGCAAAAGTACCAGTCTCCATCAAATAAAACCAGTGAAATCCAGAGAGCAGTGAGGCTGAAATACCTTGAGACAAACTTAAAAAAGCTGTGAAAACCACAGCTACTGGGAAAATGACTTTCGAAACAACGCTGACTGGAAAAAACTTTCCTGCGATAAAAAGGCTCAACAATGTTGACGACACAGGTTAGAATGAAGGGAGGCAAAAGCAAATATAAGAAACCGCCAACATGTAAACCTGGCTTGCAAGAGCAAGTGAAATGCATGTCAAATATATACTGCAGGATGGAGAGCAGGATTATCAGCAGAAACATACTGACTGCAGGTTGAATCAGTTTAAAAAGTCTTATTACAAACTCCGAATCGAGCGCCATTTTGCCAGCCATTTGGAGAACCAAAGGTTAAGATTTGTGCAAATTCTGCCAGGCTGCGTTAAGTTCTTCGATGAGCCCTCAGGAAGTTTCTGTGATGTTCTAACATTGGCTGGTTCAGTGTGGAGTTTTATCCAATCTGGACCACAACCCATGTGAGCCAGGGCTGGACCACAGTGTGCCATACTTCTGTAGCCTACTCTCACAATGACGGAGCCACTTGCTTTCAGTTTTCAAAGATTTCTGAACTTTGATTACACTTCATTATTTTAGGTCACATTAAATTAACAAAAGACATATAGTACAACAAAATAAAATCCTTTTAATTTTAAAGTCACTATACTACAGGTTTTATTTTTTGCTTATTTGTGTTTTCCATCTTTAGTTTGAAACTACAAATATTCTAAACCTTACACAAGATTGAAAAATGTCAGTCTAG